TTCAGAGGTTTTAGTCCATTGTCGCTTGTTCCCATTGCTTGGGCCTGTGGAGGGGCAGTATGTGATGACCCAGAGCACATGGTGGAGGAGACCGCCCACCTGATGCTGAATGGCAAGCAAGGAATGAGAAAGGCTGGTCAGGTCCCAGTGTCCCCTTCCAGGCCACCTCCTGTGACCTCACTTCCTTTCTGTTGTCCCTACCTTCTAAAGGTTCCACTACTTCCCTGTAGCACTGCAATTTGGCATCCAAGCCTTGAACACATTAGACTTGTGGGTGCAATCCAGATCCAAACAGTAAAAGGAACCTGAAAGGACGGACCTTGGGAAATGCCAGTGTCTCGGGGGATAGGTTAGAGAGAGGTAGGAATGGGAGCATATTGATGCTGGAGGAAGAGTCCACAGTGATCACCAGTTGGAGGGCAGCGTCTTACAGCATGGACAGAGAAACATCCTTCAGATACAGCAGTAAGTGAGCTTTACTCTGAGATTCATGGTAAGAGCTTGCTTCTTGGGTTCTCAGCAAGTGGTGAAGGAGTTAACTGGGAGTTGCTAAAGCCACATATTAATATGTTTTAGAGATGTTTGACATGTGAGATAAGATCTGATAAAAGGGCAAAGGCAGAATTGAGAAATGGGGATCAGTCAGCTGTTTAAGATGCAGGGGTAAGGTTAAAATTACATAGCCATACAGATGGGTGGAAGAGGAGAGGTGATAGGCCGACTGTCATGTGATCTTCAGAGAACAGGTCTGGCGTTTCTTCCCACTGTGCAACCTTTCTACTCGGTAAAAACTTTGATTTAACTTTGACCATATTAAAGTCATGATTTCTTTTGATTGTATATGAGGCTAAGGTGTTACCAGTGAATACATTTTAGTATGCAACAGAGCTTGTCAAATAATTCTCTTCCAATGACACATTTCATAGATGCTTTGCCACACAGGACTTTAAGGTACAACCAATTACCTCATTTATCCTGCATAATCAAGTCTTGGGATCAACTGGACACTCAATTCACAAGATCCAAATATTATAGTGAGCCTCAGCCTCTGCTTTGTTGGAAGATAAGGGCTAACACGCCAGCATGTCAGCTACCATCAAGTGTGCATTTCCCAGGTGATAGCTCAGGTCTGGTGGCAAGATAACACATGGATGGATGTGGGTCTGACCTTACTTAGCTGCTTCATGCTTATCAGGAAATAGCATCCTCTGTAACACATGGACATTGCATCTAGGAGTCAGTAAAGGATAAGGCAATTACAAATCATGTTCCATTCAGAGAAACCCCTGTTTAAGCTTTCAGTGTGGTTGGGGACTCTGTCTTTGTCATCCACAAGAGCTCACCAGTAGAAGTCCTTTTTTTTTTAAACCACAAACAATGTTGCTTAGAAACACAGCTGATATCTTACCTTTATTACGTTTCCAGGGAAACTGCTGAAGGGTTAACCAAAGGCCAATTTTTATATGGAAAAGGAGAAAGGTTTTGTTAACCCTTCACTATAATTCATTAACAAAATAAACGGCAGGCCCACACCATGTAGGCTGCGGCCCCCGTGCAGTCTGTTCATGTCCATGGCATCAGAACGGCGAGTCTAGGAAGGGCTGTTGGCCCTTAACACATGGCGCTGCTCATTGTGCTTTGCCATGGTTTCAGCTAGTTTAGTAAATAAAAAACCTTCCTGATATGAAGTGTGCTTGATCCAGTTCCTCAAACAGCATCTTCGAGGTAGAAATATGATTCAGAGTAGGGAGGAGAAAGGGACAAAAATGGGGTGAGGAAAACAACAAAGGCCGTGAGTCTGACCCACCTGCAGTGGCAGCGTGTCAGAGGACACATGCCCTCAGAGTGGATTCCCGCTGTGGAGGCCACTTCCACTGTAAGGTTTGGTGTTCATTCCCAGTCACTTGGAGTGATCTTTCTGGAACATTTTGTGGAAAACTCCCAAATTTCTTATTCCTAACCAATAAAAGATTTAACCAAATGTGCCATTTGTTCCTGACATCCAGTCTTAAACATACCTGTGGCTTAGAATGTTACTATGTTTTCTTGGAAATCTAATAGTTCAGATAAGTTATTAGGTTATTCATGCAGGAAACATTTTGATCGAGTATTTGTAGTCATTTAGGGATACAGTAGTGAAAAGGGAAACAGTTCCTGGCCTTAAAGATTTGAAGTTTGTATTGTTTACTGAAATTAGACATTAAAAAGGCTAGAAAAAACAACTTTTGAAAATTTAGTAGCTGAAAAATTTAACTATAGATTTTTATCTAAACAGATGTAAATGTATTTTAAATTTCAAAACATGCTTTATCGGGCTGGGGCTGTAGCTCAGTGGCAGAGCACTTGCCTAGCATGCATGGGGCACTGGGTTCAATCCTCAGCACCACATAAAAATAAAAACCAAATGAAAACATTCTGTTCATCTACAACTACAATTTTTTTTTAAACATGCTTTATCCACTTATTTAGAGCTTTATATTTGTGGTGTTGTTACCTGACTTCAGTTAAAACTTTGATTTGAAAGCCAAGGCCCCCCATCCCTGATTATCTGGATAATGTGTTCCTCATATTTCTGTATCTTCCTTGTATTTTAATTACTCACTAAATTCTGGGGTTATTAATTTGAACAGAACAGACAAGAGCAGTAAAGCCAGAAATGCTCATCACAGAAGCAAAGAAGAGAAACATAGCTATAGCATTTATAAATGTTTTTATTATTTTGTTATTGACTAACCTTATATGCAGGCATTTTAAAAATTTTCACTCTAGAACATTCAGATTGGAAATGGGTGATAAATAGAAAGTTATTCAGTACAGATTTTAAGGGTGATGTAATGTCAATATGCCGTTACCTACTATATCACCAAATAAATTATGTTTGAATCACTCATTTTGATACCTCTGTCATAAATTCACAAATGACTTTTTGGTTTAGCTGTAGAAAAAATAGTAAAAATTTGACATTTTTTACTGTAGCTTTTTTGGGGGATGGGGGCAATGGCAGGTATTGAGGCGCTCAACTGCTGATCTGCATACCTAGCCCTTTTTATTTTCAGACAGGTCTCACTAAGTTACTGAGGCTGGCTTTGAATTTAAGATCACCTCTTTCCTAAATTGCTAAGGTTACAGTTGTGTGCCACTATGCCTGGAAAGAAACAAATAGTATCTTATGATACATTGTAGGACTTTAACATAACACAAACACAAATGATCCCAGACATTTTAATCCAAATCATTGTGCCAAAATTAAAATTATTTTATTTTTGTGTATAAAGTTTGTTTTTAGATATCCCTAATGAAACTTTTCAGCACAAAATCGTTCAGATATCACTTACACTTTAAAAGATAAAATGAAGTAACTGTTATAAGGGACATTGAAGTGCCCAGATAAGTTGTGTAAATTAGCTCTGCCCAATCTGCTGATGAATAGCTTGGCAGATCGTTAAAACAAACAGTTCAGTTCAGCACAGGAGGCTTATTATTCAGTCTATTACATCTTTGAATCTAATTGTAGGCAGGTTTAATACCAGCAGCATTTGGGCATTGCTTACAAGTTTTTAATCTTGGACTTTATAGATTGCAGGAGGCACCTTGTAATAAAACTTCCTGCAACTGGGTGGCAGTGTTGGTTTCTCTGAATCCAGAAAAGTTCCACTTGTGAGTTTAGAAAGATTCATTTGAATAAGAATTCTAATGCGAAAGTCTGTTGAGTGAAATTAATAGTGAAAAATCAAGTTTTTTAAACCATTCAACTCATTGTCTTAATAACCAATCTAACTTGATTTTATGATGATCTTTCAGTTTTAAATTTCATATGTACTGAAATGCTTTTTTTTTCTCATGGCACACAATGAGTTTTTAAAATCAATAACAATTGTTTATTGAAGATAAGTGCAATTTCTTTATTGTGGTATAATAAAGTATAAAGGGAGATTTAGTGTTTTCAAAAGTTTAGTAAATAAGCCTAAGTAGATAAATATTACCTTAGAAACCTGATAAAATGGCAAAAGAACTCCAGGCAGGTTAAGATAGCTTGTGTAGACTACTATTTTGTAACAAAGAAAACTGATAGTTTCTTACTTTTTTATGTCTGTTATATGCTGCTGTAATATTTTAAAGTTTTTCTCAGTCTTTTTTTTTGGTTTGCCTCTGGTTCTCAAGAGAATTACTGTGCATTTGTTCCACATTATCCCCCCACGTGTTTATTGGTATTAAAATGTGTTATAGCGATCAGTGGCAACACCTTATCATGAAACTTCTACAAGTGTTTTGTAGGAGATCCTGTACCTCTCAAAACACTGGCAATCTTAAACTTATATTTAGTGTGAAAGACACATTATTAAACTTTCTCAAAAATAATCTTAAAATTGATCAATATTCTAGTATTGTATTAACTAAAAACCTTCAGGTAGAAGGAAATATTTTGGGTTTTTTGTTTGTTTTTTTTACCCTGGTTTACTTATAATTTTAAATATAAAAGATATTGAAAATAAACTATATTGGCTTGGTTTGGCAGGGTTAGAATCTGGTAGTTACCTCTTTAGCAGAGCTTGTCCTCGATGGACATAGCTTAGCAGCTGACATGCCAAGAGCTTTGGGGTCGTGTATCTTTGCTTCTTCGCTCCTTTGCCTGTAGAGGTGGGACTATGGCCACATCCACTTCAGCCCTTGAACCTCCATCTCCTCTATGTAAAATTGAGAATGGCGTCATTATTTTCCTGTCACATCATTGAAAACACATGAATGAAGGTACTTAGCAGTAAATAAGCACTTTTTAAAAGCTGAATAATTTCAGTGAATATTTGCATTTCATAAGTGTAACTCCGAAGGGGTACATTAGATTGGAGATTGTTGTGAAGGAGTGGGGCAACGAGAATTACAGCAGCCTGTTTCTTGTGGTGTCATTTAGGCTTCCAAGGATACTAATTGCATTATTTCACAGGTCTTTAAAAGTAATGGGTATATGGTGAATTATTGACATCCTTTATCTTTCTCTCTAGGATACTTACGGAGAGCTACAATGGAAAAGTCCTGGATGCTGTGGAACTTCATTGAAAGATGGCTAATAGCCTTGGCTTCGTGGTCTTGGGCTCTCTGCCGTATTTCTCTTTTACCTTTAATAGTGACTTTTCATCTGTATGGAGGCATTATCTTACTTTTGTTAATTTTCATATCAATAGCAGGTATTCTGTATAAATTCCAGGATGTATTGCTTTATTTCCCAGAACAGCCGTCCTCTTCGCGCCTTTATGTTCCCATGCCCACTGGTATTCCACATGAGAACATTTTCATCAGAACCAAAGATGGAGTCCGTCTAAATCTTATTTTAATAAGATACACTGGAGACAATTCGCCCTATTCCCCAACTATAATTTATTTTCATGGGAATGCAGGCAACATAGGTCACAGGTTACCAAATGCATTGCTTATGTTGGTTAACCTCAAAGTTAATCTTTTGCTTGTTGATTATCGAGGATATGGAAAAAGCGAAGGAGAAGCAAGTGAAGAAGGGCTCTATTTAGATTCCGAAGCTGTGCTAGACTACGTGATGACTAGACCCGACCTTGATAAGACAAAAATTTTTCTTTTTGGCCGTTCCTTGGGAGGAGCAGTGGCCATTCATTTGGCTTCTGAAAATTCACATAGGATTTCAGCCATTATGGTGGAGAACACATTTTTAAGCATACCGCATATGGCCAGCACTTTATTTTCATTCTTTCCAATGCGTTACCTTCCTTTATGGTGCTACAAAAATAAATTTTTGTCCTACCGAAAAATCTCTCAGTGCAGAATGCCTTCACTTTTCATCTCTGGACTCTCCGACCAACTAATTCCACCAGTAATGATGAAGCAGCTTTATGAACTCTCCCCCTCTCGGACTAAGAGGCTAGCCATTTTTCCAGATGGAACTCATAACGACACGTGGCAGTGCCAGGGCTACTTCCCTGCACTGGAACAGTTCATCAAAGAAGTGATAAAGAGTCATTCTCCTGAAGAAATGACGAAAACGTCATCTAGTGTAACAATTATATGATGCTCCCCTTTTTGATTAATGCATTGTATTTTAATTTGTGCAGAATGATAAAGAATGTTCATTTCTTAGAAGTGTGTTACGTCTGTACTTGTCTGAAGAATGACATTAAACTTTGAAAGGACCTCAGTGTACCTTTATGATGATCCAAATGGTTTTTTACATTTGAAGAACTGTAATTATTGGGATTATTTCACACATGTTCATCAAAACTTTCAATGTGGTTATATATCCATAACTTTAGTTTAGTACATCAGTATAATAATAGAGGTTATTCAAAAGTTTCTTGTTGCTTAAGTGACATATAATCTGTGTCACATTTAGGCTAATAGCTGGGAATGAATGAAAGGAGACACATGAGCAAGAAACCTTTGGATGTAATTCCTGTAGTAAATATTGGGACAATCATGGTAAGAAAACTTAATTCTATAACTGCATTTTTCACCTTAAAAGTTAAAATGAAATGCATGATGGTATTTTATTCCTTGACTTATGCAATGCAACATTTTTAATGTAAATAGCACTGGCCATATACTGGTGTATATGGTTATCTGGGTTATATCTATTTTTATGTAAATTCTATTTTGTTTCTGGCAAAAAGTGGAACTGAGGCCTGTGTGCAGGTTGCCATTGACCTTTGCTCTGGTGGACGCTGAGATCCAGCTTTTTCTTACAAATAAATGGGACCCTGTTTTCCAATATAAATGTACCGTGTTTTTGTTAGGTACAGTCTGGATCATGGCATGCAGATAGAAATTTAGAGTCTTACTGCAGCTTTCTGTGCATATTTGAACTTTTTAATATTTGTAATTTTGGTGGCAAAGAGAATTTTAGCTTCTGTCAATTTTGTAAGTCTTAAGCTGAACCACGAATAGCAGTCATAGTGAAGATTAGAACTTGCTTAAGAGAAGTCCTATTACATGATTGTACATACCATTTTACATAATTCCATATTGGATATTTAAGCCCCAGGACCTAGGATACACCTAACCCCACCAAAGGGTTATGATCATTATTATTAAGAGTTTTTGAAAATTAAAAAAAATAAAGCAAAAGCAAAAATATCTAGGTTCTTGACTTAATATTCCAGTTGCTGTCAAAGAGAACTGTATCAAAAGACAGTTTGGGGAAAATTTTGTTTTTAAATTTCATACGTGAGGACAGGTGAGCATGAGGAATTAGAGCTCTGTGACACAGCCTGATACCATGTGTCACAACTGAATGGCTTATGCAGGGAGCAGTGTGTAGACACATAGAAAAGTAGGGGAAATTTTTCTTAAGTCCCTTGAAACTTAAAAGATTTACCTTAATTAAATATATAAGCTGTGAGACAGAATTGTGCCAGATTGTTCCAAGCAGTCCTTAAAAGTTAATTGTAACTAAGCTCCATGCATTGTGATGTCAGTTTGCACACATTTTGAATATTTTGCTTTCTACAAAGCAGCTAGAGCAGAGAAACAATGAGTCAATAATCTTGACTGTAATTTGAAGACATATTTCATGGAAATAGGGCTAAATAGCATTCTTATCATTGACTTTATGCTAGGATTTAGAAAAGATAAATAATAGCAAATATGATTTCTAAGAATAATGTGTTTCTATACATTCTTAATTATAAGAAGTCTTGCTTTTGAAAGTTGGTAGCACATATTACGGGAGGTGTATTTTGTGTCAGTTCTCCACAATTGCAGGCTGTCTTTCATCTTGTAAATCCTGCTACGTACGGTGACTATCCTGAGTAGGAATGTATTGGAAAGAGAAAATTAAAATGTCGTCTTTGGACCTGAGCTCTCATGGCACAGCTCTGCCTGTATCTTTAAGGTTTCCTGGGCACTCTGCTGTTACGTATTCATGTAATAATCCCTCGGCTGCACTGTGGAGGAACTGATTGACTCGGTTGGAAACATGCTGATGAAGTGTCAGGTTTTCTTCATCAGTGCTTTTTTATTTTGCTTTTTTTTTTTTGGCGGGGGCGGGGGATATTTCAGGTTTATAATCCTCCTGGGTTTTTAAGCCAGGACTTAAGATGTTATGGAGCTCTCGTGTACCATTCCTGCCCTGTCTCTTCCTAAAGAGCCTCTCTCCAGTGAGGGGCAGGGCCACGTGGGGTTGTACTGTCTGTCTGTACCAGCTTCTGTATTCAAGGCCACTTGCTTGTGTGGAAAGGGGTGGAAGATAAGCTCATATTTCTAGGAGTCCACAAAGCCCATGGCATTATTTTTTTAAATATTTCTAAATTGTAGTCGAAACACTTGGTCTTAGTAAAATGTGACTTGTACATGAGCCATGCCTTCGTTTTGCCCCATCTCTGAAGGAAATGAAGTAAGATTATCTTGTGTGTTCATTTCTGGCTCATTCATAAAATTCATTTGTGAATTACCTAGCTGCCCTTTTAAGTTATTAAGCTAAAATTTGGAAATACTAAAATGAGCTTAAGTATGGAGAGAGAAAACTTATTTAGAAATAAAAATCAAATTTATTATTTTAAAGATTATTAGGACCCTGGGCTGGGGTTGTAGCTTAGTGGTGGAGCACTTGCCTAGCACATATGAAGCACTGGGTTCAATCCTCAGTACCACATAAAAATAAAAAACGTATCGTAGCTATCTACAACTAAAATATTTTTTAAAAAAAGAAAAAGAAAAAAATTATTAGGGACCTGTAATCCCAGCAAGTCTGGAGGCTGAGGCAGGAGGATTGCAAGTTCAAAGCCAGCTTCAATAACTTCCAAGGCAACTAAGCAACTTAAGAAGACCCTGTCTCAAAAAAAATTTTTTTTAAATATTTTTTTGATATATTTTTTAGTTTTCGGTGGACACAACATCTTTATTTTTATGTGGTGCTGAGGATCGAACCCAGCGCCCCGCACATGCCAGGCAAGTGCGCTACCGCATGAGCCACATCCCCAGCCCAAATTTAAAAATTTTTAAAAGGGTTGGGGATGGAGCCCAGCAGTTAAGTGCCCTTGGGTTCAATCCCTGTTAACCTCTCTCTTGGGGAAAAAAAAAAAAAATGAGGCAAAAATTGGTTAAAAAACAAATCCTGAAAATACACTGCAGCCAGGCGTGGTGGCACACACCTGCAATCCCAGCAGCTCTGGAGGCTGAGGCAGGAGGATTACAAGTTCCAAGCCAGCCTCAGCAAAAGTGAGGCACTAAGCAACTCAGTGAGACCCTGTCACTAAATAAAATTCAAAATAGGGCTAGGGATGTGGCTCAGTGGTTGAGTGCCCCGGAGTTCAATCGCCAATACCAAAAAAAAAAAATTACACTGCAAACTAAGGAACTGAAAACTGCAAAACCACATTTGAATGCAAAGCAGTTCTAACGACAAAGTGGACAGTTCACATTGCCACTACCTTAAGTTTTTGCAAAAGGTTTTTGACTAAATTTTTATTTTCTTTAAATGCTTTTCTGAATTCTGTAGACACATTACAGCTCTGGTAATAGTCACTGGAATGACCATATTGCAGTCATCACTGCTGAGAGTTTATGCCCTCTGATGCTCACCTATTCATCTCTTGCCAGCATTGGCTTGGGTCAGAATAGGTTTGGCAATTAACTTTGAAGGCCATATTTTATACAAATGATCTTGTAAGCTCAGATAGCCTAATAGTGGTTTACATTAGTGAGCCCCTACCCTCCTTGAGGCTAGGGTAAGGTGAACTTTAGAAGGATGTCACAGAAGTCACTTTCATTTAGGTCATGATCAAGATCCTGAAATCCTCCAATATTCCCCTGTCCCTTTTTCCTATTATATTTGAAAATTACGGGAAAAAATAAAAGCTGTGAAAGGAAAATTTAGTCATAAGTAACTTTTGGATTATCTCTTAAATTCATGTATTTTCATATCACTCAGGTAAAGCTGGAAATGACAGAGCACAGACATCTATTTTTTAAATGATAAGGTAGAAAATGAAAAATATTTCTGTTTATTCTTATTCTCACATATGCACCTCTCTTAGCTTGTCAGAAATAATATGTCCATTTGTACAGCAAAAGAAATAATCATCCCAATTCCAGTCAACACATTTTTTTGCCAAATGGCACAAATATACCTCCATTTATATTTTGTATCTTAAAAATGTAGTTTAAAAATAAGACTAAGCGACACTTTTTTTTTTTTTTTTTTTTTTTTACAAAAGTGCCATATATACATATGTAATGGGTGTGTGTTGAACTTAATTTATAACAATTTCTGTCAGTACAGCATATATTGGAAATTCAAATTGTTTTCAACATAACTGAAGTACATTCAGGATAAAGTGAGTCTAATTTCATAATGTAAATCATATTTTTATTATTTACCATATTTTGTTTGAAGTAGTAATAAAATTTTATAACTCAGATTTGAATGTCATAGTACATTGTGTGCTAGCCATGGCAAGGAAACTTTTTTTTTTAATTTCTTTTAAGATATACTTTCTATTTTTCTGTACTGACATATGCAATAAATTGATACATTAAAAGTTTGATTAATGTCAAGTTAGTTTGTATTCAGTCTTTTTAGAGTTTTTCTGTTAATGTAAAGTCTATCATAGGACATTTAAGTTTCTTCTGATGGTTAAATAAAATTCCTGAGTTTGCACTGAAAATAGTAAATTTTATTCTATTAATGGTGTGGATAAAAGATAGAAGCAAGGTTTCTATTTCCTTCCAAGAGTATCACCCTCCCTCACACATTAACTTTCAACTGATACCACAGGTATTTCCTTTAAGTGGACCACTGGTAAATGACTAGGCCCCAAAGCACTCCCCTAGTTACATGATTGGGGACGAAAGTTTTCCTGTTCCTAGGCACGTGCCTTCAGATTTCAAGAAGTGCTTCTTCAATAAGTCAGTTCTCTCTCCCATTGATATTTTAGTTCACGGTTTTATTTTGTCAAAATGGATGTGTTTGCTGAGCCCTGTGTGGTCTGTAACAGGCCTTCCCTCAGGAGAGAAGACGTTTTCATGCCTGGATGGACTCTGCACAAGTTGACTGACAAGTGTAGACAAGCCTTCAGTGTCCCTGAGAGAGATGTGCAGGCACGCACTTCCTGAAGACTGTTTCTTTGGGATCTCACACACTGGCTGGAGAGGTCACCAGCCTGTCCAGGGCAAAGTAATTTTACACCACTTCCCGCACCCCCCCCCCCCCAAAGGGTTGTTTTCACATTCTCACTTTACTCCCCAACTCTTCCTTCACAGTCAGCTACATCCTGAAAAGCATAGAGTTAAATCTCGGAGAAGACAAGTCCCATCAAACTGAGGGAAAGGGACGTGTGGAAGGTGTTTTGAATACTTAACTGCAGGGCCCAGATGTTGACTATTGACGTCACCAAGTCAACAGCAACAGCAACTTTTAGCCTATTTTATAAAAGTGAGCTCCGAAGGGCTGAGTGACAGTGTACGCAGAAAGGAACCTAGATTTGCACCCAGATCTCCAATTCTGAGTCATTTTCTCAATGAAGCAATTCAAAACCAGTTACTCATATTGGAATAAGTTCAAAATGTTGAACTGGAATCAGAAGTGGACCAGTTCAAGATCCTCCCAAAATTGCTATGAACTGCAAATTGGAAGTATCAAGCAGGGAACTACGCTTTCTTCAAAGTAATTAAATGTTCCCACAGGAAAAAATCAAGATGCCAAGCCTGGGACTGTCGTCCTTCCTCAGCCTCGGAAGTAACCACAGCTGGAGAACTCAGAGCCAGCCTCAC